AGAATTTGGCAAGCACTTTGAATTATTACTCTATTCTGTTTTTTTCCATTTTATTTCTGCTCGGAAGGAAATTGTATATAATTTGATTATTACTGACATCATAAAATCAATTAATGTCATTTAGGATTGAATAGTATAATCAAACTGTTTTTATATCCGGGATCAAAGGCTTTTTAGGAATTTGAAATTGTCCTTTGCTTAATGTTCCAGTATTCCAACCTCTCTCACCTATTCCCCCGGAATAATTTCCCATTAATTTAATTTAATTCACTTAAATTCCAATTGAGTGAAAACTACAATAGGATTCTGTCTTTTACAGACCCTGTTTTCCATATAGTATTGTAAATCTCATTGCCCACATCTTACTTGAGTATCCTTAGCCATTTAATATCACTCCTCTCTGATGCCAGCCTCAGTTACTATTGTTCTGTTTTTCTTTAACTGCTCGGTCACTGTTCTGTTCTTGTCAGCATTGTGCATTATAAGTGTTTAGGGTAACATATATCTGGCTAGTGAAATGAATATAAGATTTATTTATGAGAGTAGAGTACGGACGGCTTTAAGCTATGGATGAATTAGTTGGTTTCTTAACCCTAGTGGCCTCTTCATAATTGATCTGCTATTTATTATCTACTCTTATATATTATCTACTCTTATATATTATCTACTCTTTAGTCATAAACCTCATGGTTCACTAATTCTTTTGGTCATTTATTCACCCAACAAGAAATCATAATTTTTACTATGTGTTGGGTACTATTCCAGGCAAGAAACAAAACAGATAAAGACCTGGCCTCCCTCATTGTGTGAGAGAGAGGAAAAAACAAACAATAGAAAAATATGTATGTCAGGTGCCATAAAGAAAACAAAAGAAGGGCAGGAGAACAGAGAGTGATGAGATGGTCAAGGAAGGCTTCTCAGAGGGGTGGCATATGAGCAGAGACCCACCCTAAGTGGGGGAGCAGCCGCGCCTGTATCAAGGAGAAGAGTTTCCAGGCAGAGGCGGTAAAAATGGCAAAGTTCTGAGGAGACTGTGTAGTTTAATGCAAGGTTGGGCTCCAGCTTCATTAATTCCATTATCACTGTGCTCAAGGGTGAGCATGAGTGGGAATGAGTGGGTATAGGGGCTCGCTAGGATAGAGAAAGAATATCCAGCCTCCCAGCAGGCGGTGGGGCAGTGAGGTGGTTACGGCCATGGTGGGGGATCCTCTGCCTGAGATGAAAAAAAGAATAGATTGTGGAGAAGTAGAATCCCCAAAAATATTTTTCATTCTTTACTGAAAGTTAAAATTTAGGGCTGAGTATGGTGGCTCATTCCTGTAATCCCAGGCGTGGGATTACGTGGGAGTTTGGGAGGCTGAGGCGGGTGGATCACGAGGTTGGGAGATCGAGACCATCTTGGCTAACATGGTGAGAACCCGTCTCTACTAAAAATACAACAAATTAGCTGGGCGTGGTGGCACACACCTGTAGGCCCAGCAACTTGGGAGGCTGAGGCAGGAGAATCACTTGAACTCAGGGGGCGGAGGTTGCAGCGAGCCGAGATGGCACCACTACACTCCAGCCTGGGCCACAGTGCAAGGCTCCATCTCAAAATAAACAACAACAATAACAAAACTTAGTTGATGGCCTAAAATTAACAACCATATTGGTATCATCAGAATTGCTATTTGAAAATACATGTAATAGAAGGTCAAATCCAAATAGTCACACCTATATGAAAAGATGAAAAGTTGCTCAAGTTTGCTATTAGTCAAGGAAATGAAAGCAATGAGAGGGACTGATGTTTGATGAGCTTGGTTTCAAATTTTGGTAACTCTGATACTTTGATAACTCTTATTGTTACCAAAAAGCTATAGAATTTGCCTTAGGTATTGCCAGAGACAGGATGAAGGACATTTTACAGTGTTTGAAAACAGTAATAGAAAAAATGAAGTTGTTTCTCAATTGTATCTACCAGATTCACCCCATTTCTCTCTTCCTCTGTCACTCTCTCCCATCTCACTCCCCACTACCATCATATTTATAATGTCATATGATCAAGGAGAAAAATATGACAGGACACACATCAGATTGTTAATGAGTTGACTTAGCTGGGAGATGCTATGGAAGCAGGTGAAAGGGGAACAGGAAGTCACCTAAAAACACTACAGTATCAGAAGCCTGACTACATTTATGCATTTTTGTATGTGTACAATATCTTTTCAGAGTAACTGGCACTGATGGAGGTATAAACTGAAGTGTGCGTGTTACAGAATATATACAAACTTTAATGAAAGAATCACTAGGGACACAGCAGTTGCAAAAATAAAATGTAGACCAGTCATGTTCATATTTGTGTTTGTAGGGCATACATTGGAATTGTAAAAGAAATGAAGTTAGATATTTGACTATGAAAGTCCAGATATCTAGAAAAAAATCTGTGTGATGCATTGAAAATTTTTTTCACCTAGTTTCACTTGTAATGAGTATACAGAAAATAAACGAACTAGAAATTACCATTTTTCCATCAAGCATGGGAGGCTAGCTACATGTTTTGAGTGGTTCACAGATTGAGGGCTTAAGCAGCTCCCTACTTAATCATATTTTAGCAAATGGCTATTTCAGAAAATGTTTAAACTGCAAACTACCCCGGAAGTAATTTGTCTTAAGTTATGCATCCCATCCTGAATCTGTTTAAGTGTGAGCTTCTGCCTTGACTTTTCGGATTGTTTTTTTGTGGGTAGACACAGGGATAAGAGACAGTGGGGGTGGGGGGGCCTTGCCTTGTGACTGATTGGGTGAGAAGAGCTGTACTCTGCTGTAGAGGGTTTCACCATCCTCTGCTGCTGCCCTTTTTGAATTGACTGGAAACTAGGAAATCCTTTGTCCATGATTCATCTGGAGGCCTCAGTCGACTTTCAAAGTAAAAGTTTGCATTTCTTGAACTTTCTACATCCGAGTTGTTACAAGACCCAGAAAAGGGCAATACAGTAGTAAAAGGATTTAGATATTCACTGGAAAAAGATTTTAATCCTTATTTAAGAAGCAGTTGATGCAAATCAAAACACTGATACACATGATTAGAATGAAAATGATTTCCATGTTTATGTTTGTCAGCAATATAATTATTTACAAATAACCCATATGAAAATGTAAAAAAGCATATTACATCTTCACATGCCATCTGTATTGACTGAATAAAGCTTAGTGACATTATTTGCAAATCAGTAGTTAATTGTACATAGACATTTTGTGCGTTAAAAAGGAAATGTACATAATTTAAAATAAATTACATTACACAATTTACAAAGTAATATTAACAAAAATTCTTAGACAGCTGCCTCCTTATTTAAACAAAATAAATATTCAGGTAGTTAAATTAACATAAAATACACATTTAGGGAATAATTTATAGAAAGACAGATTGCAAATTTAATAAAGTTATATTTTACAGTGATAGATACTGATCTCTTCAAATCTCTGTGATAGAAATGGGAGAAAAAAGTACCAGAAAGAGGGAATCTAAATGTTTACTTTCTAAAAATAAACACAAACAGATTTCTAAAAAATAGTTGGGGAAAGTTTAATAGTAGGTAATCTAGAAACTATGTGTTAAAAACAGAATAAATCTACAAAACACAACAATAAGACTGACAGTTACATCCTAAAAAATGTAGAGATTTTTGATCACTGAGAGATCTGACTTGGTAGAAACACAAAAAAATAAAAATGCAAAATTAACTGTTTACTATTTGTTTTATTCATTTAATAATCTAGACATAACCATTTTTCAGTGTCCCTGCTAGATATAGGATTATCATAACACACTGCACACCATCATTTTTATAAAAGAATAACTGTTTGCTTGGCCCACACACTGGTTTCTGATGCCCGAAATCCTGTCTTGCAGCCAGGGCTGCCTGAGGGCAGGACCAGCGGCGACTCTTATTTCCAGAACAGCCAGATGTGGTTCTCACAACAAAACTAGTCCCAAGAAATATTACATTGCGACAAGATTCCTCACAGATTTGCTCAAGGACTACTGTTTTTTCAACACCCTCAATCTTAGAGCAGAAATAGAAGAGGAACCCATACTAGAATTAGGTATTATTTTTATAAATAGTGAGACCAGATCATTGGGGAATCGTGCTTCGCATGCGCTATTCAGACCCACATCAGCTTTAGAACAGACTCGTCCTTCTGTTTGGTACTGAAAGGTACAGGCCTCCCTCACTGTCTTGTGGTGTGGAATGTGAACGAAGACTCCAGGTGGAGACAGGAGGATATGGGGTAATCTAAAGCAAGTGTAGGCATGGACATTTTTACAGAAAAGGGCTTTTTTATTCTTGCATGGCTTCCACATTTTTCCTTCCCCCTTTATTCATTTCTTTGACTAGTGAGTTTGATGTGTGTCAGGATATTCACACTCTGAGTGAGTGACACTTTGATTCTAATAGGGAAGGAAATACAGGAATTCTCTACTTTTTTTTTTTTTTTAAATTAGGCATATTGAGAGGAAAGTGGTTCTGAGGGAAGTAGATAAGAATAGCTATTCCCCTCCCAAATTTTTAGAAGGAACAGGAAGAATAAGATTTTGATGAAATTCCAGTAAAATATTTAACTCATTATATTGAGAGTAGAACGAGACCAAGCAGAGAAAATAATCAGAAAGGAGGAAAGATAGAGGTGGTTGGGGGAGGTAAATAAATATGTGAGAGGCATACTCAATTCCTGTAGAAGTAAGACGTCAGTTTCTCTTGAAATGCCCAGGAATTTAACAGGGGTCTGATTAAGCTAAAATGACCACTGCCACCTACCTCAGGGTAGTGCGGGGAAAAATCAAACTCCTAACACCATGGCCTAAAAACATGTATGTTACATATGGAAAAATACAAACCCCATCTAAAACCAAACCTAGAGTAAAAGTCAACATGTTTAAGTGCTATCTTTACTCATTAAATATTTTTTCCTTCTTTTGGACGTCTTAAGTATCTATGTATACAAAAGCCATTACTAACTTTTTTTTTACAGTGCCAAGCAGAGTGTCTTACATGTCAATACATATTTGCCTTAAGTAATTTGTGCTTTGTTATAAGTAATGAAAAACATGCTTTTATGCACTCTTTTTTAATTCACTTAAGCTACACCATAGTGTCCTCAAAAAAAAAAAGCTTTGAAATGAAGATTATAGTTAATATATTGGATGAGGTACTGATGAATAAGCAAATCAGCCCCTTTCAAAAGAGATCAGTTAGTCTTCTTCTATATGGTTTCTATTGAAATAGTCAAGCAAAATCATATAATACTGTGTTAAACTTGTTCCGCCCTTTTCTTTTTAAAACCAGTAAGACGTTCATACTAGGGAACAGCAGTTCTACATCTTTTTAGCCTCACAGACCATTTCCATAAGGCAAAAGTGTCAATAGAGAAGTTTCTACTATATTCCCCTCCCAAATTTTTAGAAGGAACAGGAAGAATAAGATTTTGATGAAATTCCAGTAAAATATTTAACTCATTATTGACTTATGCCAGAAACAAAAATAAGGCCATTTTCATATTATAAACATGAATATAATAAACTTCCATTTGTCCAAAATAGCCAGATTGCTACATTCTTTTCACCTTTCTACCAAGAGGTTGTCCAGTGTTTATTTATTCTAACAGTGATCTTCCAATATGTACTCTAATATTAGGTAATGTTAAACCTAATTTCTTCTCTCTCTCTCTCTCGTGTGTGTGTGTGTGTGTGTGTGTGTGTGTGTTGTAAAATCCAATCAATTTATGAAAAAATGTCTTGTATTTTTCATAACATTTTGTAATTTGGATTTTCTAATTCTTATAGGTGGGATGATACTAATTTTTTCTGAATTAGTGACATTTTATAATATCATAAGTATAGCTTTAGTAGGAACAGTATTTTAATTCTAGCCCACATTTTAAAATTATAAGGTATTGCGCACATTTCATAAGAGGGTTAGTTGAATTTTTCAAGTAACCACAATAGATTCTTTCTTAATCATTTTGGACAAGTGGAGTTTATGCTATTCAAAGACATCAACTTGAGGATTATCTGGAAGACCCCTGAGTATAAACATTGACAATCACAGTTTTAGAGTAACAATATTATTTTTTCTTCCTCTTTAATAAGACAGATAAAATGGATTTTGGATTTATATATTTTTTGTTTGTTTGTTTAAATCCTTGGTTTAAAGTAAAATTCTATCTTCCTGACTACCTGTTGTCTTTGAAATGGTTTACATCGCCTAATATAGTGAATATTGAATAAGAAATTAGTGCTTACTGCATTTAGTTCTTATTGAAAGACAAATATTTTCATTTTGGGGACAATGACATTCTAACGTGATGTCTTTTATAAGCTTTGCAAATACTCTAATGAACAGCAGGGGGAGGTCACACTCCAGTATGAAGGTAAAATACCTTCTAAATCCAAACCACTTTTACAGAACACTGCTGTTTAAAATAAAACAGCACGTTATGCTATTTTTCAAAAAACCTGAAAAGCTAGTGTCCTCCTCTCTTGCAGAGGTTGTTGCTATAATGTTGCCTGAAAAATGGTATTGCTTTTTAATGGCACCTTTTGAATTTTCATATGAAAGAAGTCTGCTGAGTTAAGTATTGTTCCACTCCCAGGGCTACATCTTTAAAAAATACAGCTACTTCTGATACAGTGGTAAATGTAATGACTGTAAATTCTCACATCTGAAATTAAACACTGAACATAGTGAGTAAATGAATGAAAAAGAAAGATGACACCATGGAGAGTTAGCATTAAAAAACACCCAGAACCAGGCGTCAGCAAAATTTGACCTGCAGAGGTGGCCTACTGGCAGTTTTTGTAAAGAAAGTTATATGGGAAAACAGTCATGTTCATTCTTTTATTTATTATGGTTGCATTAGCAGAATGGCAAAGTTGAGAAATTGCAACATAGAGCTTGCTGAAAATAGTTTCTATATAGTCCTTTACAGAAAAAGTTCGCCACTCTTGGTCTAGAGATGTAATGAAGTCTTGGACAAGATATTTATTCTTCTCTCTTAAAAATTTGAAATCATGCATTGAAAAGATGGCTTCAAATTTTGTCAGTGAGAAAGACAAAAGACTATGGATTTTAAAATAGTGCCTCCAAGACAGACATTCAATCTGAAACTGAGAAATCAAATTAGAGAGAAAGAAAAATCAACATATAATTTTGATTTCCTTTAGTTACAAAAGTCATTGATACATTATTTTCTCCATCTGCTCAAAATTACAAAGACATCCAGTTCCTTTTTTTCTTTTCTTTTCTTTTCTTAACAAAGATAACAAATATAAAAATCTAGTCATAAACAGCCTTCAAAGAACAATTACAAACCAACTAGAAGAATCCACCTTTTAGAGGGTTAAGGGGTAGGGACTTCAACACTTAAATTACCGCCATGTTGTCAATTTCACAATGGCTGCAGTGATGAGGAAGAGTGTGTACAGCAGGTGTAATAGCTGATTTCATCTTGCTGCCATCCAAGCTGAACTTTACTCTCTTCAGGATACAAGAACTTGCAAATGTCTTCATGACACTCTTGGCACAGATGTCTTCATCCCATATGAAAAGAGGCAGTTTATATGGCAATACTGGGTAAGTGCCTATCATGCTGCACTAATATAGTGCAAAAATGTGCCTTCCATATAGCAAAAAAGATGCAGGCAACCAGTTTGAAAATCAGGGAAAGTAGAAACATATTAACACAAGTAAATTAGTTTTCCAGACAATAACCACTATAAAATACTGAACTTGAGGACTCTTTCTTCTAAGACACTAGTACTTGTCCAGCATTCTTACTTTGGAGAGAGACAAGAATGGAGTCTTAAAAAAGAGTCCTTGTCTCTGAAATGCAGGTCAATAAAATCTACCATCGACCACCAAGATGCTGAATTTATTCAGTGGGTTTTCTGCTTAGCTTAGAGCTTGTTAGGCATTGTTAAAATTGCTTATTAACAAGTACATAATCTGACATAATGTGCATCAACACATGTTGTTAATTTAACTATAGTATTGTGGAGATCTTGGTAGAAACTCGTCATGCTAGAAAGTTTTATGGATTAACACTGCAGACAGTCTTGTATCAGGCATCCTACCTGATCAATCCCACCATTATTTTTTAGAGATGAAGGTGGATTTTCGTTGGTAGACTTCAGAAAATATGACATAAAACTTTCAGAATGCAGCATGTATTCAACTAAATCTCCTATAATTCTCACAGTTGATGTATGTAAGTGGTACTGTGTTGAATATCTCCAGTGGCAGTATGATTTTCACTCTTGTCTTTATGACGCCCTTTTTAAAAATTGAAATGTATTTTAATCCACACAGTTTGGATCCGTGTGTTGTGGCCTCTGGACATCTACTATGAAGTCAGAAAGCCGAAACTGGTTGTTGCCAGGAGAAGTTATATGTTACATGTCAGCATCTCCATCATAGGCTAAGGTTAAAGGTTTCAGTCGGTTGTTTTGCCTTCGTTGGGGTTTCTTTGGCTTTTTGCTGCAGAACAAATAATTAAAATTGGGAGAAAGAAAATCAGTCTCTAATTGTAAATGTGACTGCTTTCAGTGAAAAAACGTAAAAATAAATTGATAAATCAAAATCGCCTCGTTGGCTACACTGCCTAAAGTCCACCTTAGAATTTGATTTTCTGATCTCCCTGAATTTCAGTTTTATGCTTTGAATAAACTCTAAGTAAACTTCAAGTGTTTAACTATCCTGCAAAAGATAAATTATCCAAGTGGAATTATTTCAGTATTAACAACAGAAATAATATCATAGTCTAGTCATTTTCCTTTGGCAAGAAACCTTTATAAATAATACATAATTTATAAATAACACATGTTTTAAAAGATAGTTGAATATGATTAAGTATTACTATAATATCTTTCTCCATTAGAATTCAATATAAAAATCGACAGTTCACCATAACCAGTACAAAGCAATTCTCTTAAAAGTATGCAAGAGAATATGCTTGAGAAGATGACCTGCAGGAAGTTCTTGCTCGTTGTTAGATACGAAATGGCTCAGATTTGGTAGCTTTTAGCTCATCTAAGACTAAAGCCGTGTTTACTTGGAAATCATGTGAACACGAGATAAATGTAGAATACTGATTTGAGAAATTAGTTTGCTGTTTCTGTGTTATGATTAACTGAAAGTCTTTTCTCTGAAATAGAGACGTTATGTATCTCTTTGGATTTTTAAATATTTAAACACTCACCAAGCTAGATAAATCATGGAGACAATAAAGAGGAGTAACACAAATGCCCCAGCTGCTACACCGTAAACCCAGGTCTTTAGTCTCCCATCTAAGAAGAATGATATTAGTTATTAATTTACATTAGTCTGGTATACATGAGGCAGTCTTTATGAACAGTGATCAATCATATATGACCAATTTCTTTCAAAACTCAAGAGAGTTATCGCTTCAACACAGTTAATGATTAATGCAAAGCTGCTGTTATGAGTTAGATACTGCTTCATTAAAGATAAGTTATCAAAGAAAACTGAATTGAAAAGTTATAAATAATATTTAACTTCAGATTTCAAGTTTCTTTGTCTAAACTTCAGCTGCCTTTCATCTCAGTTTTACTTCAAACTCCATACATGTGTAATGCTATATAAACATTTTCTTCTGATTTTCAATCTATTTTGAGAATTGCAATCATAAGAAAAGATGGAAAATGCCATTTTTAGATAGTTCTACAACCTCGAGTTACTGCAGATAGGTATTTAGACAAAAGCTTCATCATTTTCATTCCAGGTAAAATGAAAGCGAATATATTCAACATCTTATAGAATTAATAATCTTTTATCTAATCTGCACTGACAGTGTGTTTTAAAATTGGCTTGACAATGTCATTTACAAAAGCAACTAGTTTGGTTAGCATCTAAAAGGATCTATAAATCATTTTTTTCCTTTTCTATTATATGGAATGAGACATAACAGGAACTTTTGTAATTTGGGTTTCTGCTCTCATTTTCTTTGAACTCCTCAGTTTTATGCTCTGAATAAACTTCAAAGAAAAGATGTTATTTATGACATGGCTAATTTAATTTTATCCTCACATCAACATATATTTTCTGTTGCAATTAAATATTTGATCTTAGTGTCAAAATTATAGATTAGGCAAAATTGACCTCATGTAAACTCTGGTTTATTCAATATTTGAAAGGCATCAAATGCAAATTGGTACTGTGGAATATTTTTGCCTGGAGCTAGATCAAGTGAGATGTTCATTTGCTGGAAACAAACTAAATTAATATTCTAAATATCTTTTCTTTCTAATCCTAAATATTTTTTTTTATTTGAGCTGAGTTTAGAATCAAAAGAGCTGTTTCATGATTGAGCTTCTCTATGCTTTGAGTTTCTTCAACAAATGTTTTTTGGGTTTTTCAAAATCAAAGAATATCTAAGTATAAGTTTTCAGAACATGCACCTCTTAAATATATTATCATTTTCACTTTGGGGAAACTATATATAAAATTAATGACAATAATATTTATTTTTTTCAAAAGGACTGATTTTGATGTGAGGAGATCTGCTTGTTAGTAAAGATCAGAATTGCTACTGGTTATCTGCTAGTCTGTTGTCTTGAACACTGAGGGAAGAGCTTCCCATGCTTACACAGACAAGTCAGCTTTGCAAAATAAATCGTACTTTCAGCTAAAAAGCCAATTAAAGCAGGAATAATGTGATTAAAACCAAATCACCCAAACATTTAAAATATCCTAAAAATCCAATATTTATTCTCCAGTAAGGGAAAGTGTTCAGACTTAATGCATTAGCAGTGGAGACGTGCTAGCTGTGCAGATTCCTTCCGTCTTTTCTCATGCTTCTAATGGCATTTTTAAGTAGACTATGCCTGGTTCTGCCTAGAGAGTTCCTTTGCCTCATGGACTAGGAGTTCCTCCAGGGAGTGAGAAAAAGTGGCATGATACGAGCTGTTTTATAACCCATGTAGCACATTTTCAAGCGCCAGGTTAGTTCTAGGGATGAGCATATGATTAAATCCAACAGAGGAGAGAAAGTGTGCAGAGTAGAGAATAGCATTTCATGAGGTTTTCAAGCGGTTGCCCATATTGGCTTTGCATTTATTACTAGATACATTAAAAGCTATCTGTTTAATGTGGAAAAAAAATTGGGATCATCCCCATCCAGAAGGGAAGGCTCCATTATTGCCCCTGTGTATCTGGCACTTGTACAGATTCTCAGTATTTGAGTATGCTGACTTGTAGGGCTAATCCAAACTGATCTAGCTATCAAGTGTCCCCTGGCACAGAACTGCGTAACTCATGTTATGATCAAATTACAAATTCTGGAAGGTCTTTATAGTCTCCTTTATCCTAGTTCTGAATGACAACACATTTTTTAAAATTCATATTCCCATCTTTGTTCAATTTGAAATTACACTTGTAATTTTTGGACTGGAATTGAATTGGATCATATTGATACTAAAATTTTCTCAGAAGAGAGTAATTTCATTTCTCTGAACTTCAAACATAAGTTATTTTCCATAATGATAGTAAAAATTTGGGAATAGATGGCACTAACAGAATAAAGGCATGTAGATAAAATAATCAATAACTCATATAACAATGCTTGCTCACTCTTTTAATCCTTTGGCATTGCCTAAAGCATAACTAAAGGTTTCAACTTCAACACTAGTCTAGTCAGTTCACCTGGCCCAAATGGCTGTAGAAACCAGGTCCTTCCCCGTCCTGCTGGGTTACTGGAGGGTTGGGTTGGATGGACAGCCCGACTGGTTTTCACATCTCCTCTTTTGTCCTCCATGGTGGGTATTACCACCACAGGGATAAGTGTGCATTGCTCAAGGGTGCTGTTAGAAGACATGACTTCAGTGTACCCTTCTTCACAGTGGCATGTTTTTGTCTGCAGGAGAACAAGCAGATTTATACTAGCCATGCAAGGAATCTTTGAAAGTCTAACAGACCTGACTTGAAGAGAAGGCTTTAAACAAGGACTTTTTTTTTTTTTTTTTTTTTGGGGGAATAACTATACGTAATTCCTGTAATATTTTTAGCTACATAAAAATACACTTTCGGTATTACATATAAATGTTTTCTCAAGGTGAAAGCAAGTGAATTCAGGACTTTTTAGATTGATAAAAGGAGGTGTCTAAAATGGGATTTTTATGCCTCAAGACATGCTTTCTTTGGAGGGAGATAAACTGCAAGAGACAGTGGGGTGACAAATGATGGAGCTGGGTTGTCTGCCCTGATGAATTTACACATACCTCGCTACAGTACGAGTGGGGTTGGCTACACGGCGGGTTACAAGACCTGTCGGCATCAGGCTGGCTCATCACCAAGCAACCCCCTGTAGAACAGAAAGTCATGTTTTGACAAATAATATATCTTGCTATGATGAAAATACACTGTTGTTAGTGACTTGTCTTTGAATCTTGAACTACTTTGGGAATCCCAGGAATTTTTCTGTCAGTGGTTGACTGTGAAATATTTGGTTAACCTTGAGCACCTGTAGTGACTCCAGGACCTTCTTACCCAGGGGAGGTAGCACAGTGCCTGCTTCTCAGCAGGTATTCAACAAGCATTTGTTGAAAGAATGATTCTATAGCTGCTATTTTGAAAATACTAATTGCACATAACCTTCTTCTGTCAGGAGCGCCTGAAGCTAAGTCCAGCAATTAAAAAGCTGATTTAATTTTTTTCTAAGGTTAAATTCTTTCTTGGAGATTCAGAACAATAGTTTTCATGTCCTTTGAAATAACTCTTTAGCTCTTTATGTTAAATAATTTTTTTAAAAAAATAACGCATTTTTCTTTTTGAGAAAACTACAATTTCTGCTAATTCAGGGTGTTTTTTGGATATAGAGAAGAAAACAAATGTATCTACTAAATCATTTGTTTTGAACTGTGGTTTTAACTTGATATTACAGCTGTTTATCTCTCTCTTGTTTATTTTCCAGTATAGTACCAACTGTCCCTAAGTTGTTTCAAGTGAGGTTTTAAGATGGAAATAGAGGTCATAGAAAACATTGGTGATATGAAAGGAACTCATATATTCAAACTATACTTGTTCAGTTTAACAGAATTTTAGCAAAGCAAAATTTTTTCTTTATTGATAGAACTGATGGTCTTCAGGAATGTAATCACATGTGCCTATTGCTAATTCTCTGTGTTTCTCTCAATATTATAATCTCAAAATACAGAAAAATTATTATAGAAAAGCAGTTAGTCATTGCAAGGCAGTTGCAGTTAATTGGCCGTATTGAAGTTATTATCATTAAACAAATACATACACAAAAGGAAAGCAATATTTTGAGTTCCTTAAAAGGACAATTTATAAATTAAAGCAATTGATCAAGATAGATAATATACTTTACATGCTTGCCTATTTGTCATAAAGAATGTCATCTCTCCTAAAAGATGAAAGAAGAATGCATATAGAGTTTATCACAGATGATTTACACATTGGCTTTTTTGTACTGAATACCATTAGAAATAGTCCATTGGATACTTTGCTGAATTAAAAATACGATTTTACAGGTAAGTCTTTTAACGTTTGACTGACCTTTGCATTGGGGGAAGAGCCCCAAATGCAGTAGAAAAAGTTTTTAATATGTAGAAGAAAAGTCAGGCAAACATTATTTGCATCCATTATTGGAAAAAAATTTGCAAATTTATAGGATCATTTAGAGAAGTGGTTAAATTTTCTTTGAATAGTTTGGCAATAAATGTATCCATTCATTTTTAATCTGTGAGCTGAATGGATAACTTCTATAACACCTCCTCATTCAGAAACCCATCTGTCCCTGTCCAGGGCTCTTCTTACTCCATACTTCCTGGAGTGAGGGGGCTGAAGCAGATTTTTCTCCCAAAAAATAATACAGTGAGACAACAAAGGGTTTCTGTTAGATGTCTTTTATTTGTTATGTGTGTGACCACAGGGCGTTGTTATTAAGCTTTTCTTGATAGAGCTTTCTTAAGTATAAAATCATATCTTCACAAGAAAAAAACTGATATCCTGATCTAGCTCCCATAAGGGAGGAAATTAGTAATTGGGTTTCAATGAATCCACGTAATTTAAAATTCAATATAAAAATGGATAGTTTTCAAAAAGCGTATTGATCCTTGCTCCTTTTTCTTACTGTATATATTAAAGTTAAATTTATAAATGGACATTACCCAGAGGCATCCAAATACACACTCCTTATTTCCCCCCACAGCAATGTTAAAACACAGCAGCAAGTGAGCAGGTCTGCCTGAGCAGTTAACTGTCAAGATGCCTGTTGTTGCTGTACTATGGCAATTCCCATAAGTTGTTAGATTTATAAAAAGAAATTGTTTATGGAAAGGCATTAGATTTCTGGGTCCATGTGCCTGAAATTAAGGTTCTGGTTCTGACTTTCATTTATTTTTAGGAAATGTGCTTGGTGGTTCACTATGTATCTTGAGCCAAAATCTCAATTCCTCCTTCAAGGGATCGTTGGGATCCCTCATGTTTACAGGCTTCAGATAGGCATTTAGGAATTGCACACTATAGTAATTCTTTGGAGGTATATGTTGGTCGAAGTACAATTAAAAAAAGTTATTCCTTTGGAGTTCTTCTTTGGATATATAGTAATTTGGGGATGTGGGCACAGTAGGTGAGCTGCTCAGGTGGTCTGGGTTTGAAATTTACCAATAGGTCTTTCCAATTAATTAATTTAAAAATGTCTGAATCATAGGTTTCTGAATTCAAGCAAGATATTTGGATTTGTATAATCATACTCCCTTGGTGGTATTTTTGGTCTGCATTTATGTTGCCTTCAAGACACAGAAGCAGAAAGTAAAAAAGAAATTGATTATTTTTAAACGTGTAGGAAGTTACTCATACATAAAATTTCTAGAAAAGATAATTTGAAAAGTGTTTATTTATAATAATTATTAGAATTAGATTGTATTAAATGTTTCAGCAGCGGTACCTAAGAGGGCTAATTTGAACCATTATAAAACAAAATAATTTGTCACTGGTCATCAGATGGGTGTAGCCAGCTTAGGCAACCTGAATCCCTAACAGGCTTTGAATACTGAAAGAGTAACTTCGTTTCCTTAATTATTTTCTTCAACCAATCACATGTGTGTTACAGGAAGATTTTCAAAGAGAAACTGGAGGTTTACCTGTGACATTTATACCATCTGACCTTTGACACCACACTGTTCGGGAAGAGCCCTTCCAAGCACTGGCCATCCATTTATATTCATAGCACTGTCCATCTGCAGGGAAACAGTAAACATGAGCAAAAGCATTCTGTTACACAGAACAACAATCATGGGGATAGAGTACTAATAACATATTTATGAACAACTGAAAAGTGGTAAGAAGCCCATCTCTGATGATTCAAATGTCAATTTATTGTCAGTCCTGAAGCTACCAAGCATATGTTTTAAAATTGCAGCTATCCCAACTAATTTTCCATGTCTGCTGTCACACTACCTGGTGGGAACCTAGGTTTTTAATTTAATTTAATTTTTAAAGAGTGTTATGAAATAAATATACAGTCAGACATGGAGAATAAGTATATATATATATATATATAGAGAGAGAGAGAGAGAGAGAATACGTGGAGAATATATATATATAGTGTGTGTATATATATGTAAATAACTATATATATAGAAAATATACATATATACTCTATATAGATATATATAGAAAAAATATATATATTCTCTCTATAGATATGTATATAGAGCTCTCTTTATAGATCTCTCTCTATATTATATATTCTCTGCATTCTCTCTATATGTAGAGAATAACCCTATATGTCATACAATTTTAACAAATATTATTTATCCGTATTTACTTCAGTTTTCATTAGCTTGTTGATGAATAAAACATGAGGTAGAATTGTATTCTTTCCTGCTCTGAACACCCTCCCTGTCTGTCCAGCAGCACCTACTATTCTGAAGTAGATGTATGACTTTGTTATGCTTTTAGTTATTTCACTGTATGCACACACACATAATTACTATCTACAGAAATGATATATGATATTTTTTGCAGTCATAAATTTAAAAAAGTATCCAATGTAGCATTCTGAAATGTAGTCAGTGTTACAGGTGAAATATTTCTAAGTGATTTTTAAAAATGTAGTACAGTTTATTTTAACTATGACATAGAATTTCATTGTAATACATAACACAGTTTATTTAGCTATTTCTTCTATTAGGTTATTTTTAATTTTGTTATTCAAACAATACCTTGAACGTAAACCTTGTGCAAGTGTCCTGGTGCTTCTTTAAGTTAATATATCTAGAAGGGAAATTTCTGGGTATCACTGTATGGATAGCTAAGACTTTATTAAATATTGCTTATTTTTCTTTTCCTGCAAAAGGTGACAATTTACAAATCCATCAGCAGTGCATAAAGATTGCAATTCCTTTAAACACTCATGAAAATTTTTAATTGCTGGATTTAATTTTTTTTTTTGGTTAGCCTTTTGGGTATGGAAAGTTACCTTGTCATTTTAAATTAAAGCTCCTTGATTAATAAAGTTAATGAACAGTAACCTAAATGTTTTGGGACATGTGAATCTCCCATTATGCAAACTACTTATTTAAACCTTTGGCCTTCCCCCCTCCAACTACTGAAATCTATGTTTTTTTCTCATTGAATTGTAGAAATTCTTCCTTCTGGAACAGTGATTCTATTATTATTATTATTTTTTTTTAACATTTCTATTTTTTTCGTATTTTATTGTATTGTATTGTATTTGGGCTCTGGGGTACATGTGCACATCCTGTATCCTGCAGGGTTGTTGCTTAGGTACATACATGCCATGGTGATTTGCTGTCTCCATCTCCCACTCCCTCCTTGCCTACATCAGGCATTTCTCCCAGTGTTATCCCTCCCCATCCTCCCCTCCCCAACTTGCTGTTCCTTCCCTCCCCTCCCCCCCCCAATCTAGCCCTGTGACTGTTGTTCCCTTCTCTCTGCCCAAGTGTTCTCATTGTTCATTACCCGCCTATGAGTGAAAACATGCTGTGTTTGGTTTTCTGTTCTTTTGTCAGTTTGCTGAGAATGATGGTTTCTAGATTCATCCATGTCTCTACAAAGGACATGAATTTGTCATTTTTTATGGCTGCATAGTATTCCATGGTGTATATATGCCACATTTTTTTTGTCCAGTCAGTCAGTGATGGGCATTTGGGTTGGTTCCAGGTCTTTGCTATCGTAAACAGCACCACAGCGAACATACGTGTGTATGTGTCTTTATAATAGAGTGATTTGTAATCCTTTGGATAGATACCCAGTAATGGGATTGCTGGGTCAAATGGAATTTCTATTTCTAGGTCCTTGAGGAATCGCTGTCTTCCACAATGGTTGAACTAATTTACACTCCCACCAACAGTGTAAAAGTGTTCCTATTTCTCCACATCCTCTCCAGCATCTGTTGTCTCCAGCTTTTTTAATGATCGTTATTCTAACTGGCTTGAGATGGTATCTCAGTGTGATTTTGATTTGTATTTTTCTAATGACCAATAATGATGAACATTTTTTCATATGTTTATTGGCCACATATTTGTCTTCTTTTGACAAGTGTCTGTTTATATCCTTCAACCACTTTTGAATGGGTTTGTTTTTCTTGTAAATCTGTTTTAGTTCTCTGTAGATTCTGTATATTAGCCCTTTGTCAGATGGGTAGATTGCAAAAGTTTTTTCCCATTCTATTGGTTGCCGGTTTACTCTAATGATTGTCTCTTTTGCTGTGTAGAAGCTCTTAAGTTTAATTAGATCCATTTGTCTATTTTGGCTTTTGTTGCCATTGCTTTTGGTGTTTTAGTCATGAAGTCCTTGCCTGTGCCTATATCCTGAATGGTGTGGCCTCGGTTTACTTCTAGGGTTTTTATGGTGTTAGTTCTTATGTTTACATCTTTAATCCATCTGGAGCTAATTTTTGTATAAGGTGTAAGGAAGGGGTCCAGTTTCTGCTTTCTGCACATTGCTAGCCATTTTTCCCTACACCATTTATTATTAGGTCTGCTTTGTCTAGATCTGAGTTCAAGTCCTGGATATCCTTGTTGACTTTCTGTCTTGTTGATATGTGCAGTATTCTCAGTGGAGTGTTAAAGTCTCCCACTATTACTGTGCAGGAGTCTAAGTCTCTTTGCAGGTCATTAAAAACTTGCCTTATGTATCTGGGTGCTCCTGCATTGGGTGCATATACATTTAGGATCATTAGCTCTTCTTGTTGTATTGATCCTTTTACCATTATGTAATGCCCTTCTTTGTCTCTTTTGATCTTTGTTGGTTTAAAGTCTGTTTTATCAGAGACTAGAATTGCAACCCCTGCTTTTTTTTTTTTTTTTTTTTTTTTTGCTCTCCATTTGCTTGATAAATCTTCTTCCATCCTTTTATTTTGAGTCTATATGTGTCTTTGCATATGAGATCAGTCTCCTGATTACAGCATATCGATGGGTCTTGACTTTTTATCCAGTTTGCCAGCCTGTGTCTTTTGATTGGGGCATTTAGGCCATTTACATTCAATGTTAATATTGTTATGTTTGAATTTGGTCCTTCCATTTTGTTACTGGCTGGTTGTTTTGCCCATTAGTTGATGCAGTTTTTTCATTGTGTCATTGTTGTTTACCATTTGGTACATTTTTGCAGTTGCTGGTACTGGTTGTTCCTTTCCCTGCTTGGTACTTTCTTCAGTAGCTCTTGTAAGGCAGGTCTTGTACCAACAAACTCTCTCAGCAATTGCTTGTCTGTAAAGAATTTTATTTCTTCTTCCCTTATGAAGTGTAGTTTAGCCTGATATGAAATTCTGGGTTGAAAGTTCTTTTCTTTAGGATGTTGAATATTGGCCCCAACTCCCTTCTAGCTTGTAGGGTTTCTGCTGAGAGATCTGCTGTGAGTCTGATGGGCTTTCCTTTGTGGGTTACTTGGCCTTTCTCTCTGGCTACCTTTAGCATTTTTCCCTTCATTTGATCCCTATTGAATCTGACAACTATGTGCCTTGGGGTTGCTCTTCTTGAGGAATATCTTTGTGGTGTTCTCTGTATTTCCTGGATTTGAATGTTGGCCTGCCTTGTTAGTTCAGGGAAGTTCTCTTGGATAGTACCTTGAAGTGTTTTCCAGCTTGGATTCATTCTCCCTGTCACATTCAGGTATGCCAATCAAGCATAGATTAGGTCTTTTCACATAATCTCATAGTTCCTGCAGGCTTTTTGTTATTTTTTTTTCACTCTTTTTTCTCTAACCTTGCCTTCTCATTTTACTTCATTGATTTGATCTTCTAGTTCTGATATCCTTTCTTCTGCCTGATCTATTCAGCTGTTGAAACTTGTGTATGCCTCTCAAAGTTCTGGTGCTGTGTTTTTCAGCTCCATCAAGTCATTTATGTTCTTCTTTAAGCTGGTTATTCTAGTTAGCATTTCTTCTATCCTTTTTTCAAGGTTCTTAGTTTCTTTGCACTGGGTTAGAACATGGTCTTTTAGTTCAGAGAAGTTTGTTATTACCCACCTTCTGAAGCCTGCTTCTACAAATCGTCAAATTCATTCTTTTTTTTTTTTTTGTTCCCTTGATGGTGAGGAGTTGTGATCCCTTAGAGGAGAAGAGGTGTTCCAGTCTTTGATGGTTTCATCCTTTTTGCATTTTTTTTTCCCCATCTTCATGGATTTATCTCTCTTTGATCTTTGAAGTTGCTGATTTCAGGAGGAGTCTCTGAGTGGATGTCCTTACTGCTGATGTTGGAGCTATATCTTTGTTGGCCTGTAGAGGCATTGCTGGGCTCTCTCAGATTCTGTCAGGTTGTTGGGTGGGTGGTCCTTCCCTGGAGTTTGTTTGCAGGTGAGATTGGTCCCACCTTCCCAATAGTGTCTCTCCTTCCCCAAGCTTGATCTGCTTGGTTGGGGTCAAACTGGTGTATTTGCTTCCAAGCTCTCTAGTGAGGGCTTCAGTTTGAGTTCTGTGGGGGTGGGGCCTGCTGGCCTTACCACCTGTTTCCCTGCTTTCAACTCTGTCTCCCTCTGTGGGACAGTCCATCCTGCTGGCATTAGTCCAAACTTCCACCCAGGTCCGTGCAACAACTTGCCGTGCCCGGCGGGAGCTGCAGCTCAGATTTGCATCAACAACCCACAGTGCTCCTCAGTCTGGCAGGGCTCTCGTGGACTGTGGGTTGCAGGAGGCATGAGGTAAGCACAGGATCTGAATTGGAGCACTGAGTGGGTGAAATTCCGCCCCTGCCAGATCCTCTGAGCTGGCTGCCCTG